TTCCCAACATCAGGGTCTTTTCACTTGATTTATTGTCTGGTTGTCTTTTAAAGTGCTCTCAGTGGTCACAGAATTGTTAAATCGAGAAATAATGGTTCAGAAAGAATAAACAAATCTGATCTTGAAAAATAAAGAAATGTGTCTCAGCAAGGAGAATGAAAATAATTGAAATTTCATTATAATGTTTCGCTGTCCATTTTCCATAAAATAATCCTATAATTGTCTACTGTTTCAACAATCTGAATCACTCGACCAGTGGAACGATTAATGAAAACAACAGTGAAGGATTTGTCACACTGACACAGGGCAAGGAAGTGTGTGAAAGTCATTAGAAAGCAAAAACCGAGGTAAACATCATCACTGCTAGGTTAGCAGATATGGACTGAACATTGAGGAATCTGTTTTGGATGTGGTTGTAGTACTACCCATGCCTGCCTGCTAAGTTGCTTCAGTCGTGTCTGACTCTGCAACCCTATGGACTGTAGCCAGCTAGGCTCCTCACTCCATGGGATTCTCCAGGCAAGAATATTGGAGTGGGTTGCCATGCCCTTCTCTAGGCAATCCTCCCAACCCAGAGATCAAACCCGCATCTCTTAGGTCTCCTGCATTAGCAGGTGGGTTCTTTACTACTAGCACCACCTGGGAAGCCACTTACATGAACTACCTATATGTATATACATATATATATATATATATATGCACACACACACGTATAGTGACTGCAGAGTGCGTGTGTGCTCAGTCGTGTCTGATTCTTTATTTTTTAATTTTAATTGGAGGCTAATTGCTTTACAATGTTGTGGTGGTTTTTGCCACACATTGACATGAATCAGCCACAGGTGCACATGTGTCCCTCCATCCTGAACCCCCCTGCCCCCTCCCTCCCCACCCCTTCCCTTTGGGTTGTCCCAGAGTTCTGGCTTTGAGTGCCCTGCTTCTGCATCAAACTTGCGCTGATCATCTATTTTACATATGATAATACACATGTTTCTATGTTATTCTCTCAAATCATCCCACCTTCGCCTTCTCCCACATAGTCCAAAAGTCTGTTCTTTACGTCTGTGTCTCTTTTGCTGTCTTGCATATAGGGTTGTTGTTACTGTCTTTCTAAATTCCATATATATATGCGTTAATATAATGTATTGGTGTCTCCCTTTCTGACATACTTTACTCTGTATACTAGACTCATTCCATCTACCTCATTAGAACTGACTCAAATGCATTCTTTTTTATAGCTGAGTAATATTCCATTGTGTATATATACCACAACTTCCTTATCTATTTGTCTGCTGATGGGCATCTAGGTTGCTTCCATGCCCTGGCTATTGTAAACATTGCTGCAATGAACACTGGGGTGCACGTGTCTCTTTCAATTCTGGTTTCCTCGGTGTGTATGCCCAGCAGTGGGATTGCTGGGTCATATGGCA